TTAATGGGTCTTGATCAGGAAAGCTATACATGGCTGATGACTGTTTCTTTTTAACTTAATCTAGACTGAATGGTTAAATAGGTTTAGCCAAAAAACTTGGCTTAATGTATTAAGACACTAACCCTTTACTCATTTTCCCTTCTTCTCTTTTTCTCCCACGATAAAGTTGATGAATATTGTGAAATTTGATTTTTGGAATGAAAGGGTTAAATGTCCATTTAGTCTCAATCTAGAAAAGAAACAGATCTTATGTATACAACATGTTATCCCGACAAACATCGATACCCGTTTAGCCGCTAATAGGAAAAGAAAGAAACAGGGTTAAATGGTCATGTAGTCTCATTCATTTGTTTTTTAATGTTTGTATGTTTTCCTCCTATTGTTGGTACTTCTAAGCATTCAACTAACTCACAAGTAATATTTCAGGAAAAAGGATTGAGAGAACTTGCCTCAAATGCTTTATCCGTTCTTGTGAAGTATGATCCAGAATATTCTGCAAATTTTGCACTTGAGAAGTTAATCCCATGCACTTTGGCATCTGATTTATGCATGCGACATGGAGCGACATTGGCTGTTGGAGAGCTTGTATTAGCTCTACATAACTGTGGTTATGCTCTTCCATTAGGTTTGTAGCCTTTGCACATTTGAATAATTGAATCCAAAAAACATCAAATAAGAACATGCAGCAAATAGCAACGTGCTTTACTCTTTTTTTCCCAGTATAGACAATGTACTTTATCTTTACCCATAAATCATAATAGCAATGCACTTTCATTGATATTTTCTGTTCAAATCTGTGATTACAGATAAGCAGAAAGTTGTTGCTGGTGTAGTCCCTGCAATTGAGAAAGCAAGATTGTATAGGGGAAAAGGTGGAGAGATAATGCGAGCTGCAGTTTCCAGGTTTATCGAGTGTATTTCTATTGTGAACATAACTTTAACAGAAAAAATAAAAAAAAGTCTGCTTGATACTCTTAATGAGAATTTGAGGCATCCTAATGCTCAAATACAGGTAATTCTGTCTACCAAATTTTTTATTTACCAACTAGCTTTTTATAATTTCAAGTCTTCAACTCCTAATATCCTTCCTTTCTTTCTAATATGTACAGAATGCTGCCAATGAAGCTTTCAAACATTTTGTTCCAACGTATTTTGCAAAAACAAAAGATAAAGGGACATTTGACATTACCCTAAGGTATCTGGAACAGTTGACTGATGCAAATGTAGCTGTGAGAAGGGGATCTGCCTTGGCAATTGGGGTTTTACCCTTTGAGTTTCTTGCCACAAGGTGGAAGATTGTGCTTCAAAAGCTTTGTAGATCTTGTGAAATTGAGGTAACTTTTTTTTGATGAAATTCCCTGTTAATTGAAACTAGGGTTAGATGCTAGAAAAACAAGGTACTTCTATTGTTTGTTTATTGTAGCATTGTTTTTAGAAAAGTTTTAACCTGTTTTAGCAATTTTGTCCAACTACAAAGCATTTTCACTTCTATAATAAAGAAATAAATGCAAGTACATTGCTATTTTAATGTATTTAGCCCTTCTTATAAAGACATTGTACTTTGAAAACAATTTTGTTTTCTTATTAAGACATTGTACTCTAAAAAATCTATCCAATTATAGCAGTGAAAGTTTCTTTTTATTTGGATGTCATTGCTATAATTGGGTTGATTACTTTATTCTACAAATTACAATATTGTAATAGGAAGAAGTATAATGCTATTATAAATAAATAAATAGAAGTATGTTGTTATTTCTTGTAGTTATGCCTAGAATCCAATTGATGAATATCTTATTTGCATGACTAGGATAACCCAGAAGATAGGGATGCTGAAACACGGGTAAATTCTGTTAAAGGACTTGTATTAGTATGTGAAACACTCACCAATACTAAAGAATCTTCCGGATTCCAACAAGATGAGTACACCTCTCTTTTTACAACAATAAAAACCCAAGTGATGCAAAGTTTGTTGAATGCACTTGAAGATTACTCTGTTGATAACAGAGGTGATGTTGGGTCTTGGGTTCGTACAGCTGCAATGAATGGGCTTGAGAAATGCACATATATTTTATGCAAGAGAGATAAATCAGTTGGAAATGAGACCCCAGTTCCACTTTTTGATGCTGATATTGCAACCAAATTAGTTGGAGGAATTGTTAAACAAGCATTAGAAAAGATGGATAGGTTAAGAGAAGTGGCTGCAAAAGTTCTTCAAAGGATTTTATATAATGATGTTGTTTTTGTTCCTCTAATACCATATAGAGAAAAACTAGAAAAACTTGTCCCCAAGGATGGTGATTTGAAGTGGGGGGTAAGCTAGTGGATTATTTTATTTTTTTATTTTTCAACATGACATGATAGAACACGTTGTACTGTATTTGACATGCCTGAGACTGAGAGTGGTGTCAATGAGACAAAACTAGAAAAAGTGTATTTTTTTGTCCCATTTACATCAGTCTCAGTCCTACTCCATTGCACACCAAACACAATACAAAATGTGAGACACATGGGACCCTATTGATGTATTTGTGTCTTATTTTAACAAGAAAAGCATCATCTACTTTCCTGCAGGTACCAAGTTGTTCTTTCCCTCGGTTCGTTAAGTTGCTTGAGTTTGATTGTTACAGTAAATATGTTGCGTCAGGGTTAGTAATTTCCATGGGTGGATTAGAAGATTCGTTGAAAAAGGTTTCACTTGGTTCTTTGTTAGATTATCTTGAAGCTATTAAAGCTAAAGACAAGAGTGAAACAAACACCAGAGAATCGAGTTTGTCAAATAACATTCTCTGGGTTCTTCACAAGTACAAAAGACGCGACAGAGTCATAATTCCCACCTTGAAGGTATTATTGTTTCACACCATAAACTTCTAACTTTATATATTGTATCAACACAACAAAAACCCAAAAGGATGTTTACTAAAATCATGTGGTGCTGTTTTCAGACTATAGAGATTCTTTTCAGCAAAAGGATCTTCTTACACATGGAGGTTAGTCTGCTAGTGTATCACTTCCTTTCAGTTTTTTGGGTGGAACAAAAAACTGAAATTATTGTCCCATTCATACAAGTCAAATGATGTGGGCCTACATGTTGGTATTAAAGTGAGGTGTGGATAATGATTTGCAGGGTCAGACGGGAGTATTTTGTGGGGGTGTTCTGGAGTGTCTTGCTACTGAGTTGAAAGGAACAAAGGACTTCTCCAAGTTATATGCTGGGATTGCTATTCTTGGATACATTGCTTCGATTTCAGAGCCTCCTAATACCCAGGCTTTTGCTCATCTTCTGTCTTTTCTTACCCATCGATATCCCAAGGTATGTGTTTTTTTTTTTTTTTTTTCTTATTGAGACATTCTACAATGCGTGTAATTGGAAGAAATGGATGCTATAAATAATAACCGAATCAGTTAAAAGTAAATTGGAATCTTTTATTCCTTTTGGTAATTTCTGTTGACAGATTCGAAAGGCTTGTGCTGAGCAAGTTTATCTTGTACTTATACAAAATGGGGAGGTTGTGGGTGAGGAAAATTTAGAGAATGCAATGGAAATAGTTTCTGAATGTTGTTGGGAAGGTGACGTGGAGGAAGCAAAACGACAAAGATTAAAACTATGTGAAATTGCGAATATAGAAATGGGACAAATTCTTATGCATACCTCAAGGACATCAGGTACATCATCATCATCATCTCAGCAGAAGCCTAAAACTAATGATGAAAATGCATCATACTCGTCGTTAGTAGGATCTGCTGGATTTTGAAAGCTTTTTAATTTCATAATGTATGTCAAACCTTTTTGAAAAAGTTTTTTTTTTTTTTTTAGAAATTATATTTGAATTTAATGAGTGATATCATTACTTATTTGCTTTTGCTCCTTTTAATATTTTTTTTCATTTAATTTTATTTAACAAACCGGCCAAGAATCTCGGTTCTTCTGTCAAACGGCTATTTTTTTTTTTTAAACAACTATTTTATAGTGTTAAAATACCATAGTTTATGCTAGTTTATATATACAAGCTTTCAAGCATAAAAAGAAAATTAAAAATGGCCAACACCGATCATCTATATGGACACGCCCTTCAAATGGCTTTAGCGTTAATGGAAGACATAGCAAACCGAATGTAATGCGTTGGTTTTAATTATTATTATGTAGTTTTTAATCTTTTTAGTTTAAATTAATGAAAATTTCCGATTTTACTAATCATACAACAGCAAATTGTTTGTTAGGTGGTTATCTTGTCTCTATCTAAAAGATGATCAAAACGATAAATGCCCGTTGAAAATTTTGTCAGTTTGTGATTATCCCTAAACCAGAATATTAATATCAACCAGCTGACTTTCGAATATACATGCTCATGTATTCAAATATAAATATGTATAAAATACACTTCTGATCTGGTCAACGTTAGAATCTTCAAACCACAAACCAAACCATGAAGCATGAACTATCTCAATTTTTATTTTTTAGTTTTATTCCTTAAACCAACCGAATTGTAGTAATTTATTGGGCCGGCTTTATCCAGTTTTGACCGCATCTTATCACCATTTTTTAGTTTTATTCCTTAATCATTTGAATTTTGACCACATCTTATCACCATTTTCAAAATAAATAAATAAACAAGTTTACAAACATCAAAAGAAGCATAAAAGGAAATCACACATATCCGATTATAATCATATATGATAAACCAAGATTCTAAATAACGACAACGACAATGTCAAAATTACACCATGACAAATCTTAACAAACCATAACGTTTTAAAAAAACGTGACTATTTTATATACATTAAAAATGATAAATTATATAATCATTAAATTTTATCAAATATATAAGTCTTTAAAAATGTTTTATTAACATACAATAGTTAACAAAAACTCAATTATTTTAAACTTCACCTTGAAAAAAACTATAAAACACGCCTTGAAAAAAACTATAAAACACATCTTGACATGTTATTTGAACGTCACACTTATCAAACCCATCTTAAACGTTTTTGTAACAGCTACACTAAACCTTGCGCCATGGCACACTTTTTAGAACCAAACACACCAAGAAAAGCATATGGTCCAAAAACCCAAACTATATAATATATCATTAAAACGTGAGAAAATAATATCAAACCATGTGAAAATGTGTACAAATTGGAAGCCAAAATTCTCAATCAATTCTATCATTATTCATACCAACGTAACGTCACAAATAATTTAAAACCTCTCTCCCTCACTTTTAAATTTTAATCTTATCAATCTCTTTAATATTACAAGGTGGACCCGGCCCATCCCATCCCACTACGAGCTTAGCCATGGGAAAACCTTGGGAGATGTGGGCAATCGCCCTGTAAGAACTTCCACTCCAGTCTCAGTTACCTGAAAACATAATTATTTTTTAAATAAATAAAATAATAATAATTTAACATATTGATTTATAATAAGTGTAGCAGCCATATACCAAGAGAGTATGCTCAAACTGAGCGCTGCGCTTGCCATCGGCGGTGACAGCTGTCCAACCATCGGGCCACATTCTGTCACGCCAGACACCTATAAAAAAATAATATATATTAATTATATTATATTTTTAGTAAATAGAAATTGAAAAAATAGTAAAAGTATTTTTTTTAAGAAAATTACCAGTATTTATCATAGGCTCGATAGTGAAGGTTTGTCCAGCTTTCATCACACCAACAGTTTTATTTCCTACTTCATGTTAAGGTCACAAAACCAATAAACCAAAGGAATGGAATAAACAAGGCAACGGAATGGAATAAGTCATTACATTCCATGATCATGTTTGACTGGCATTAAGGCATGTAGGAATTACATTCCTTCTAGAATGGTTAACAAATAGATTCTTTCATTCCGATGGAATGAATCATTCCATTCCTTCCTTGATGCCACTATACTAAACACTAGAATGCTAATTTTAGGATACTGGCATAATGGGGTATGTTTGGTGCACAATGGAAGAGTTCTCCAATACCATGCCCACAATAGGATTTCACCTGAAATATAGAAGAATAGACATCTTCTGAATCAATGCAAACAGAAGAGGGGAATAAATAAATAAAGTTGTATAAATTATTACCACAGATAAGCCTGCCATGGTAGCATGTCGATTTATAATTTCTCCAATTTCACGAAAGCGTACTCCAGGTTTCACTAAGATAACAAGCAATAGATAAGAGATATTAGGAGGTCAAGTGTTTGGTATGAAGGAATGGAACTGTTGATTCCATTCAATCCAACCAAAACAATGATGAGTAATACTTACCGATAGCTATTGCTTTTTCCAAGCACTCATAAGTGCATTTCACCAACTGTAGAGATGCCTCATCAACATTACCAACAAAATAAGTTTCATTCAGGTCACCTAAAACATAAATGTAATCAATGTTGTCAACTGCATATAAACCTTTCAACAATGGAATGAAATAAAGTTCCTCACCATGCACTCCTTTATAATAAACAGTTACATCAATATTCACAATATCTCCGTCTTCCAATTTCCTGCATTCCATTATATCATGATTCATGAATGAAGATCAGAAGTAATTAATCAAAGATTTAAATTACTGAAACATTGTATCTTGAAAAAATCTATCTAATTATAGCAATAAACATTGTTCTGTATTTGGATGCCATTGCTATAATCAGGAAGATTTTTCTAAGTACAATAATGTGATTATGAAAAAATGACAATAGGATATTATAACAAAAACATATCAATGAAAATACATTGCTATTTTTTGCACTTTAAAATATGATGATGTGAATTAATAACATTATAAAAAAAAAAGAAGGGATATACCTTCCATCTGGAATCCCATGGCAGATTACTTCATTAACAGACCTGTGGACACAACAAGGATTCATGTTTAATGAAAAGAAGGTAGGTTACATGGGATTGGAAAATCAAGTACACAGAAGTACCTACGTGCAGCAAGATTTTGGGAAGAAATGATAATTTAATGGAGATGGATATGCTCCTGCAGTGAGCAATTGTAAATTTCATCAGTGTAATTTCAATTATAAGTTAATAATAAGAATACATTTCATTTTTTTTTCAACAAAAAAAAAGAATGATGAATTACATATCCACATACCAGCAGCAATGGTGGCTTCATGGACAACAGCATCAATTTCATCAGTAGTCACACCAGGACGCACAACACGAGCAGCTGCATCTAAAACTTCTCTTGCAATCTGTGAAATAATAAATAAAATTTTAATAACTTATGCCCTCTCAACTATAACTGATGATTTTACTACTTGCTCAAGATTTGTAATAAACTTACTCGGCTAGTTTCTCTCATTCTCTCAATTTGCTCTGGAGTTTTTATCTTCAGAAAACAAAAGCATTTGAAAAGACCATTACATCACCATAAATAAAGAAAAAATCTCTCCAACATGAATAGAAAAAATAGATTACCTCAACAACATGTTGCAGATCACTAATGGGCTCGATTTTTGGAGTTCCCTACAAAGTTACACATTTGATATCAACAGAAAAATACATCTAATGAATATAAAATGTCTGCAAACATATCAAAGAATATACATAAAGTAGAAGCTTATTACAAAAATTTAGTCATGAATCATGATGTTAATGACTTACATCAACTGCCCAATCAGGAAGCTCAATTCCTGCAGGTATTACACGTTTTTTTGATATGGGATAAGGCCTTAATGGTCTGCAAAAATATTAGGAAATATGAAAAAGATAGTTCAGATAAAACGTGATAAAAAGAATATGAAGCTTTGTCTAAAACAATACCCTGTCCAATCAAAATGAGGAATTTGTGCTGTTCGAGACTGTCCTTTCCTAATACAATAAAGCCAACCATCACTTGGTGAGGCTATATTAAGTTCCCATGGATTGCTTGCTCCAACTGATGATAACTTTGCTTTCAAATGAACTGATTTATGAGAGCTCCATGATGCCTTGAAACAGTCTTGAGTGCTGATAAGAGTAACAATTATGTTAATATTTAACATGGACATATCTTCAACTACATAGCACAAAAATATGTTTCATGTGAATTCTATTATATAAACTTGCAGTGATAATAAAGTTTGATGACGACTAAAGTGTACTTGAGGTACTTAAATGGTAAAGGTAAATGGCCAGTACTAATGATAAAAATAGGGCACGAGAGTAACAAACCAGAAAGCAGCGCCTTCACGTGGAAGCTTCAATTCAACACATTTTGGACACCTGAAATAAGTTGAAAGGGGAATGAAGTTAGCATACGAATAATGTAAGCAAAAGCAACTGGAACAATCAATTCATGAGCTCCTATGTTACTTGATTGATTCGGTACAGTTTCATCCTTTTATATAAACCCTAACAACTTCCTAACGCAAAATTGGTAGTTACGGATTTCATATACGTAGTGCTTCGACCAATTTGTAATACAATTATCAAATCATTCTCGCAGTTTTTTCAGCAACAACACTCTTGAAGTTTAAAAGTGATATCATTAACATCCAAATCGAAGTGCATCTTTTTTCCTGAGACTATCGAACGAATTCACGTGACTTGAAGCAACTAAATTTCAAAATCGTACGCAAATACATAAATACGTACTGAAGATGAGCAGGCTTGCCACATTTAACACATGATAAACCACTCTCCGTAACATCTGTCCCTGCCATGACTATCAGCTGAGCTTCAAGAATTGAATTAATTCCAGTGTAAGTAACGACAACCCAGATTGTTATGAGATGAATTCACAAATCGAAAATTAAACTTGCCTTATGAAACGAATTTGAATGATAATTTAGTAGAGTAGAGAGAGACTAGGGTTTGCAGACAATAACCGAGAGTTGGTGATTTGTTAGCGGCGGCCCGATGTAATACAGCCGAGGGGTTTTGTTGAGCTTCAACTTTTGCTTGGGGTGCTTTTTGTAATTATGTAAACTCTATCTAGTGGCAATTTTCGACACGACCTGCAACATGACCCGGAACACGACACGAAATAAATGGATTTAGGTTGAGTTTTTCAACCCGCTAACCCGTCAACCCGTTTATTAAACGGGTCATATATTAGTTTCTCAAAAAATAAACGGGTTGACCGGCCAACCCATTTATATTCTCAATAAAAAAAAAAAAAATTAGTTTTAAATGAATTTATGTATCAAGTATTAATATTTAATAAGTATTATATAATCCATTGATTCAAAAATCATTTGACTATTTTGATATTTTGACTCGTGGTGGATGGTCTAAGGTCGTAAGTCGCAACCTATAAG